CAGCAGCAGCAGCAGGCCACCCCTAGCTCCCTAGACGAAAACGTCCTCTCAGCGGGCGTCATCGATTGGTTGGGTACTGACGCTGGTGGTGTGCCGATCAAGGACTGGGTGCACCCCCTAAATCTCGGCCTCATTCAAGCCCTGCCCATTCCCGCCAATGTGCCGTTTCTGGGTTGCGTGGCAGACGCTTTTGTGCCGCAGCTCGGCCGATCTGGTTCAAAGCCAGGTCGGGATAAAACAGTGGGCCTTCTCGTCGGTTCAACCCTAGAGTCCTGGCCAAAGGATGGCGCCGAAAAGAAGTCGAAGAAGTCTGAGCCTGACCTGGGACCGGGTATAGTTGTCGACCTGGGAGTGCAGCTGATCCCCTCTGCCTACAGTCTCGCTCCTCTGCGAGGCAAGTTCCACGAACCAAAGCAACTGGTCGCCCCGAGGAATTGGTGTTTACAGGTTGATTCACTTTGCTTGCTTGCTTTCTTGAATGATTGCTTTATGTAAAAAAATTACTAAAGCTTTTGGGTGAAAAATGAAATATGTTAAATTAGAAAGCGAAAGTCTACTTATTAAAATAGTAAAAAATACAATATCGAGGGAAATTTAAGATTTACACCCCCAGAAACGTAGTGCAGAGGAATAGCACGCTAGATTTATCGATCTGAAGTTTTGCCCCCGTTGCTTGAGTTGACACTAAGAGAATCATACTTTTGTGTTGTAGGAGAGGAAGATGCGATCTCTGGAACCATAGTTTTATTCTGAGCTTTCGGCTCCACACGAGAAGCCTCTGGAACAATAGTTGTATCCTGAGCTTTCGGCTCCACACGAGAAGCCATCGTCAGAGTAAATGAAAACAGCCAAACGTCAGCTACTCATAAATGGGTTTGGTAAGGGAGGGGGGGGAGTAGTGGCAATTATTAATTTGTCCCTGTCCATGCTACGTCCATTCTCATGCTATTCGCTATTCTCACGCATATTCGCTTCTATTCGTCATCATATTTTTTTTCTAAATTCACTGCTCATCATGCGCTTGCATTCACTGTGCGCATGAAGGGTTCATCAAGCGATATACCGGTGTCAATTGATAGGTTCTACGCACATGCAATGCCTTCTCGGCAATGCTTCCCGTCCTCAGTACGTCAAGGGTGTGTTCGTTGACAGATGGTTTGCTCTGATTGGTCACTGTATCTCATGCCGATTAGATTCTGTCGTAGTCTTAGACTTCCGGCCTGCTGGGGAGGTTGTTTACCTCATTCAGTGCAATAAAGGAACATAAGCACTTCGTCTCTCCGCCCTGGTTACTATTTACTATGCATGCTCCGGCTATTGATTGCGACATCGGATCGAACGGCAGTGTCCACACCCAGGCCAGCCGCTCTGTTCTCCGTGTCGGACAGGATGAGCCATGACTTTGGCACAGGCCGACGAAACAACCACCCCTTCCGAAATATGCATTGTGTGTGTGTGTGTGTGT